AAATAAAGCTTATTATAAAAGGAATATAAATATCCATAGTGTAATTGTTGAATAGTTATACAATAAGAATATTTATAGGATATTAGTCCATGAATAGTCCTTGGAATTTACCTGTAGTTTAATCTTCACCGGATATAACAATGTCCAAAGAAGCACGAAAAGTGCTTATCGAATTGGAATTGCATGGATTCAAAACCGTCAAGGCATCCTTCAAAACAAAATAGGAAGGGATCACAGCGAGGATAATCGAGTGCTATGTACCTACCAATCATAGCTATGAAGACGATGATGAGGATCAGTTTTATGAGGGGCTGTAGTCAATCGTAGAATAGTGTTCAGGAAGGGACCTGACCATCCTGAAGGAAGACCTAACCGCTAAGGTCGGGATGGACAACATGAAGTATGGAGATATCATGGGACGAAATGGACTGACTGGAAGAAGGGAACGAAAATTGCAACAGATTCGCAAATTTATGTGCTTTCAACAAAATGGTCACAGAGGGCGCAATGTTCCCACAGAGACATATACACAAAGCTATGTGGATCTAATTGGATAATTTTTACATCACTAAATAATTCAGAAATTCAATGGAAGACGTGAGAACTATGAGGGAGAGGAGCTGATATAGCTTCAGATCGCTACCTGGTGGTTGCCAATATGAAAATGAAACTGAGGAAGCAATGGACAACTGGAGAAAAGGCATTAAAAATGTTCAATACAGCCTCCCTTCGAAAAACTGACCAACTCAACGAATTCAAGATAACTCTCAACAAAATGTTACAAGCCTTATAAGATCTATTAAAAGGAGAGAAAACTACTATGGAAGACAACTGGAAAGGAGTCAAAGAATTCCTAACTTCGACGAGTCAGGAAGTGCTGGGCTGCAACAAGAAACATCGTAAGGAATGGATTACTATAGAAACCCTGGACATGATTCAAGGAAGGAAGAACAAAAAGACAGCAATTAACAGAGAAAGTCAAGCCACAAGCTGAATCACATTGAAGCAAACAAACGAGTGAAGAGAAGAATTAGAACCGATAAGCAAGAATACGTAGAAGAGCTAGCAATGACAGCGGAAAAAGCTTTAAAAGAAAGAAAGTATGAAACATGACACAACGAAGAAACTGGAAGGCAGATATAGTAAACCAGAGAGACCAGTCAAAGACAAAGAAGGCAAGATATTAACCGAGATCCAAGAACAGTGGAACAGGTGGGCAGGCCACTTTGAGGAACTCCTGAATTGGCCAGCCCCATTGAATCCACCATATATCAAAGCAGCACACACAGACATTCCTATGGATGTCACTCTCCCAACAACCGAAGAAATCTGGATGGCCACCAGACAAATCAAATGTGGGAAAGCAGCACGACATGACAACATACCAACTGAAGTACTGGAGTTAAACACAAGGTTGACTGCAAAGAGGATCCACATTCTCTCCAGAAAGAACTGGGATGAAGAATAAGTGCTACAGACAGACTGGAGATAAGCATACTACACCAAGATACCAAAGAAATTAGATATGAGATGTGTGAACTACAGAGGTATCACACTACTATCGGCACCAGCAAAGGTTTGCGAAAGAATATTGCTGAGCCGGATGAAATACTCAGTAGGCGCCCAACATCCAGATTAACAGGCTGGATCGCTTAAGGATCGATCATGCATAGACCAAATCGCAGCACTACGGATCATCACTGAGCAATCAATTGAATGGAACTCGTCGCTATTCATCAATTTCCTTGACTATGACAAAGCATTTGACACTGTGGATAGTGGGACCTTATGGAACCTTCTTCAACTCTATGGAGTGAGTAGCTGAAAGCATAATCAACATCACACTGAATCTGTGCAAATTTATGCATAGAAGACAGCTGACAGACTCATTTCAAGGTGAGGACTGGTTTTGGACAAGGCTGATAGCTCTATCGCTCTCTTCTGGTAATTGACGGGGTTATGAAAACCTTCACATCCGACGGAACGCACGGAATACAATGGACAGCTTGGATACAACCAGACGATTTAGACATCAGATGACCTAACCAAGCTATTCCATACATATCAACAAACGCAGATCAAGACAAACAGTGTAGCCGCAGCCTCTGCATCAGTACACCTCAACATGCTCAAGGGAAAAAGCAATATCCTCGTATACAACACGGAGAACACCAACCAAACCAATCATACTTTATGGATAAACTCTGGAAGATGTGGAATCCTTCACATGCCTGGACAGTATCATCGATGAACAAGGAGGACACGATGTAGACGTCAAGGCATTGATTGGCAAGACAAAAACAACATTCCTACAGTTGTAGAACATATGGAAGTCAAAACAGCTCCCAACTAATATCAAAGTCATAATCTTCAATAACGACGTCGAGACAGTTCTAATGTAAGGAGATGAAACTTCGAGAACTATCAAAACCATCATCCAAAAGGTAAAAGTATTTATAAACATTTGTCTACTCAAGATTCTCAGTGTCCGTTGGTTAGATACCATCAGTAACAGCTTATTGTAGAAGAGAACAAACTAGCTTTGAGCTGGATAAGAAATTAAGAAAAGACGCTGCGAGTGGATAGGGTATATATTGAGGATATCATCAAACTTCATAATTAGACAAGTGCCAACTTGGAATCCTGATTGGAAAAGGAAGAGTGGGAGACCAAAGAACTCCCTGAGTCGGAAATTAGACACAGACATGACAAAGACGAATAGCAACTGGGAAGAACTGGAAAGCATTGTCCGGGACAGAGGTAGATGTAGTTTGTTGGTGGATGGCCTATGCTCTTCAATGAGGCGTAACAGACGTAAGTATGTCAGTAATTATATTTGGATTACATTTTAGTAACAAATGTTCTGCTATACAAAACATAAGATTAGTGTTCCATACACAATCATTTTCTATCTTATCCACCACTTCTAAAATACCGCTAGTGGATTATGTATTGCAATATAACTTCATAATGACTAAAGTTGAACAAATCGCTTTAAATATTGATGATATATTCATATATTCATATATATATATATATATATATATATATATATATATATATATATATATATATATATATATATATATATATATATATATACCTATTTGCATGATACAGAATTAAATCAGAAATCTAATTCAATAAACTTTCAGTTCATACGGTCACAAATACAAACTTCACTATAATTAATGCGGTTTAGGTAACCAGTGAATAATATTACCGGCAAACCCAACCAAGTTAGTTGAATGGTCTTGAGAATAAACCTTAAAGTAGGTTATTAAATAGTACTTATTATTGTCTCAAATATCTGTCTACATTTTTTGAGCATCGACAGAACTATTAAAGGGAAATATACCACTGAAAATACACATTTCTATTCATAAGATCATTCATCTTTCACTAGAAAATATGGTTTAAAAAACTATGAATTTTATTTAGTTTTTTGATTGCATCGATTTCGAAAACATACCTTAATATCTAGTAGATGTGGGGATAACTACATAAGTAGCATTGACAATGCTGATTACTATAAAGTTTACAAATTAAATTGACCAACAATTGAAAATTTGTAAATAATAATAATAATAATAATTTTTTTTTGAATATGAATATTCATTTGATTTACAGTATTTTTATCAAAGCATTCTATTCCGATTCCACAGGTTTTCTATATATAACACTGAAAATACATTAATTAGCCACTCGGTAATTGATAACATACTATCTATACCATAGATCTTATTGACTAATTATTTGCTTGAAAAATGTATTATTTATATCATCACTCTATTGTTAAAAGATACATTTAATCTCATCGTTGCTGAGTTTAAAATATTTTTATGCTTAATGTATTAAAACTCACGATTTCAAGTAAACAGGTATCTTAGACACTAGATCCCACATTCAAATATCAAGACTCAAATAGAATAACAAGAATCTGAACTTCAGTAAAAGGAACTTTCATTTCGTCAGATGGAATTTTCAAATGTTCTCATTCGATTATGCGACCATTTGATGAAAAGTTTATGCTGATTACGAAATTAGTTGGAGTAATAAATAGCAATTGACTTTACCTACTCATAAGTAGCCTAAATTATTTGACAGCATTTCTGACAAAATTTCACAGTGTGAAATTTACAGATATAGCACTTCAGTCAAATAACGCTTAATTTCTTTAAATATGGCACATTTTTGAGATTAAATGGTTCGTGTGAAACGTACCTATGCATGACTTTATGATGGTACTTCTTATTACAGTATCGTGCTTTCAAATGGAAATTATGGACTTCACACTAAATTCGATAACCGGGTCATAAAATAAATTGCAAGAATTTTAATGCTCATTTACCATAAACTAGATTGTTGTTCTACATTTTTAAGACAACTAATGCATTTGTTAAGTTTAACCTGTATTACAAATAAATTTTCAGGTCAATGATGACTACTCCTTAAAATCTGAATTTCGTGACAGACATGATTATTTTTTAAGACATCACGTTCAATGTGGAATATAAACTTCAATTTTGATTATTAATTAACATAACCGAAAATAACGAAATACTCCGACTTCCTCATATATGTGCATTACTATATATGACTTCATTCTATGCAGATTTTTGTTTCAATTTACACTTCATTTCCTTTTTGATGCCGTTCTATGAGTTTACTGAACTGTTTGTTCTACTTTTATCATTCAACTACATTCTCTAATTACTTAACCTTCTTCACGTTATATTACAAATATATACTATTTTTTTATATTCATTTACTCGCATAACTTGAAACAGATGTTCATTTATATTAGTACTATTATTACTAACCAATGACATTCGGAACTAAAAATAAAATAGATGTACATACAGTATTCAATTATTGTAGATTTAATAGGCTTAAAAATATTTCACATACACTAAATGAATATACTTATTTTCCATTGTTCTGTAACTACGAAATAGTCTGTAATGTAGCTTACATCAATTAAGAATCATTCTATTATTCAACATTTTTTCTGAGTATTTTTATTAATTAACAGATATGTTGTGATAGAATAGGCATAATGTAGTGTTTCTTTTAGTTTAGGTTTATGTCCTAATACGAAGAGGGTTCTATTTTCATTTTGTATCAAAGAGAAACCACTGAAAAAAAAACAAAGAAATGTATTAAACATGAAAATATTCGAATTCAGCTTTTTTATTCACATTAGCAGTTATATACTAGTGGCATTGAGATTATGAAATGGTTTATCAATCAAGTTACAGGGCATAGTATGAATCAAGAATTTTTGCACAGTTGTTTCAAGTATGAATACTAATTATATCAACAAGAATAAACTACACGACTCATTTTTAGAATAAGAAAATCACACAAGGTTACAAGTTCTATATATTAGCAAATATAAAGAAACAAAACAACAATGTATAGAACAAATGCAACTCTAAACGGAAGAACAAGAAAAATACATCTAAATCAAAACATATGCATTTTTGTGAAACTATTGACGATTTCCTATTTTTCAGTAGGGAAATCTACAATTCCTCTATTTCTAACTGTAGATTGTAATCAGAAAAAAACTATACAACGGATTCTGTGGTTGCAAAATTTACCAAGGTTTGTTTTATATCTAGAAATGTGTGAGTTAATATCCTGTCCGGCTAACGAGTTACTTACGAGCATATTTCAAAATTTGGTGAGGGTAGACAATATATTTTCTCGTAAATAAATTTAATTGTTTGGAAATTGTATAATATACTTAAAAGTTAATTTTTATTTACCACCGATAATAAACTGGCCGTCTCCGGGATATTAGTAGTTTTCAGTGTGTCACGTAGCGTGACATTTCCCAGTATTTATTCAGATAAAATAGGTTATCTTTTGAAAGACGAGAACTTAGCGCTACATGACCCAGCTATCCATAAAATTCGTTGTGGAACATAAAATGGACATTTAACGTAATTAACATCCAACTGATTAAATTTATGTGAGATTAGTATATGTATTTTTCGCTTCGATATATAATTCATCTTTTCCACCAGCAGGAATTTATGTAAACATTGATGTTACGCATCCAGAGATAATGGTTTTATGTTAAAACCATACTTTTGATAAACATCAAGCTATGAAATATATCCTTCGACTTAATTTGACAGGATCCTGGTGATTTCAATAATTTCATCAGTCATTTCATTGATCAGTAATACAGTGGCGTTTAATATATTAAGTATACGACAAAAGTATTATTTCTAGTTTTTTGAACAATCAGTTCTGATGCATATATAATCTCAAGAGTTTATGTATAAACTATACAGGTTGCAAAAGAAAAAGGTTAACAAATTATATTTTCATCCAATTTATATTAAAATGAGCCTCCTGCAAAGGAAGCAACATTAATATCGGCACAAATAACAATTAAAAATAAAAGACTACATGATTTATGTATGTATAGCTACGCTGAAAGAGATCAAAAGAAATTTGTAATTTCAATTTATAAGAGATCACTTTCAACTTGACTGTTTGCATAAATATACTTATAAACGTTATGATGTAACAACATTACAGGACAATGGAATAAATGGTAGAAAAGTTATTTTATCAATTAACTGAGCTATCTGTATATATAGAAGCACGTTCACTGAAAAAGAACCCAACTATACGCGTTTTTTTTAACTTTTGTGCTTTTATTGTTTAACCAAAGGATATTAAAAACAAATTAGATTATGGATTAGAGAAAGAGGACAAATTAGATTCACTTGTCTAAATAAACATAATAAACTTATATTTCTATGTCAAACATACATATAAACAGAAATGCACGTACGAGTCAGAACAAGATTCATTAACGTGCAGAATAGTCTTTGAATTATTCATACAAACAAACAACTATATGTATGTGTGTGAATTGATAATCTACAGTGATAACATTTAATAATATGGATTTAGAACAGGAACGTAATTTAAGCAATATCATCATGATCAACATTGATAATTGAACACTTCACACAAGAAAACTATGTCATAGATTATATGACGGGAAGAGGAATAGGATTTTCATCAAATTAAACGAGCTAAAACAGTTGTTTGTTCATTTGAAGCTGCTGGAATAGGATAAAAACCAAAACGTCGATAAAGTTCTGCCCGATGTTCATTGATAGTATCCAACTGTACATGTGCTCCCTGTAGTAAAATAGAAATACGATAAAAAAACAAACCCTATTATAATACCACTAACAGAACTTAAATGAAATAACGAAATAAAAAAGCTATTTATTACATACTGATTATCGATGAAATTCAGAATGTAGATTTTGTCTCATATAAAGACTCATCAACTAGACATGGTTGCATTCTAGTAATTACCAGTGGCCAACACAAAGCACAATCTTATATCTTTCGTATCAAGTGTATTATTCATTGTTATTGAATCATAAAAAATACATTTTCTTGTTATTTAATGGTTTTTGTTTGAACATTAGATTGGTTCAACTAATTTTTTCTCGATAATATAGGCTCCATTATATATATCGATAATATTGTTGTCGGGTTAAAACTAAGTAAAGTAATCCATTATTATCAACCAATATAATGTAGAATAAAAAAAATCGAGCTTCGTAAACTAACAGAAAACATGACATGAATGATGAATCTACAAAATAAACATAACTTTTCTATTCCAATTTAAGAAATATAAATACTTGCAGTTTACATGAAATGGTTTTTTGAAAGTAACCAATGTGATGATCTAAGCATAAGCATTGACAATTTAGTTAAAAGATTGTCAATTCCATTCACATGATATACTCGTAAAACTTTAGTCACAATTCCGATTGATTGGTTCAGTTGAAAATTTTAAAAGTAATTCTCTGTTATAGAATTCTCAGCTAAATAATACAATAATCAAAATGTACCAAAGCATTATATTCAAGTTTTAAACAATCCTTGTTAATTTACATCTAGTCAGTCAGCCAGCTACAACGTGGGATCATGCACATATATGCATCGGTTTAAGTTGCCATACCTCATTAACACAACAAGATGGACACCGGATACATAAAAGTAGTTAATTCAGAGGTGGTAATATATAAAAGAAAGATTGCAATAAGGATATAGTGCAGGAAGAAAGAAATAGTTCGTAGAAAGATATGGAGCGATTTTAACCTCTTAGTTTAAGGGAAGACAGAGAGTATATACACCTACGCCATTGTGATCGATTCTGAGCCATGTCACCAAGAGTCTCCAACCATTGGCTACGATAGGCACGCGGACCCCAACCAAGTAGTCTGCATCTACCAACATGACCCAAACTAGAATTTAGTGACTGATGCCACGTTTTGGTTTGGCCACACCTAATTTTCTTCCAACCATCCCCGACACTGGTCAGCATTGTGCGTCGTTGTAAACGGTGTTCAGGCATACGCAACATTTAATTCTAAGTATTTGTTAAATGTAGATTTAAATATTTCATAATAAATTCAATTTAATCTAGTTTATTTCTTACATAAATATTTAAGTTAAAAATTATTTACAAGTGATTAATCACTGAGTTGAGACCACTGTCATGCTTGTCGAGAATCTTTTAGTAACTAAACAAATTTTACCGATTAAGTTGAAATAGAATAGTGATAATATCTTACAAAATTATACTGTTTATATATCTCCGAAATATATACTTATTTAAGAAAACAATTATCAAAAGAAACAAGAAATAGAAATAGTTGTTTAAAATAAGGAAATTTATCAATCATATTTTATAATAACAAATTATCATTTAAGAACTTGCATGAGCGCCGACTGTCTTCAATGCCGCTAACAAACAAATAAATAATCGACGTGCTACAGAATCCAACAACACTTCAGGTGAATCTGCACATAATCCAAGATTATGATTAATAAGCATAGCAGGTGTAGGACCATTAACACAACTATTTAATCCTATATCATCAAATTCAATCCATATAATAGCGGGATGAGCTGTTAAAGCACTATGAAGTGCTTCTGGTCCACCAGCAACAATAAGATTCCGAGCTATCACTGAATTTGTTGTTGCAGGACTACTTGAACATGTCTCAGGCACTAATGATGGTGCACAAGTAGTTCCAGATGGTGGAGATGGAGGAGCGGTATCTGGTAAAATAGGTGTAGGCAAAGGTAAAGCTGGGATAGTTGCACCACATTCATCAATAGGAAAAGAAGACTTTAATTCTAATTGAGATGACAAATTAGTAGGAATATTAGAAGTGATTGGAGCAGTCGTACAATTAGGTTCACATTGTTCCAAACAACCAGATAGTGGTGGCTCCATGGGAAGGCATCCACCAAGTGGTTCAGGAGGAGGGATTAAATTCACAGCTGCAGCAATATCAACAACTTCAGATGTATCATTGTGGAAAGAAGAAATCATAGACTGAAAATTAAAAAAATGACTAAGACGTTACTATTACTTTAAGTAGTCAATAATTTACATTTTGTATAGTTGACTGTGACAAGCTGTAGCTATCTTTCAATCTTAATTAGTATAGCCATGGTCATCAGTGGTTGGGTATCATAAGTGAAAATATTTAGATATCCATTATGACAAAACATATATTTCATGGCTAATTTTGTATACATTTGAACTTATTATCAAATTAGTTAAATATTCACTGGATATTTTTTAGTTCATTTAAATGAAATCTTTAGTTGGAGTATGGGAATTTGAATCAAAAGACTACTTCATACAACTCAGTATACTTATTTGATAATGATACAGGGACTCAGCACTACAATGTCAGAAAACTCAGCTTAAGTAAAGAAATTATAAACCTTAGTTGAAACAAATTGACTATGTTTTAAACATTATTACTGCGTGCATTCGATCCGTCGGAATTTTTTAAAGTCCGTAAATTGTGTGTATGGAACTAGTACAATGATTACTAAATCCAACAAGATCTTTAGGTCTAAACAGTTGTTAGACACTAAATATGTGGAATTGAATACATCAATCATAACAAAAAACAAAGATGATAGTAAATGAGCAAAAAATATTACTATTATTATTCACCTTGATGAATTCTTCGACAGCCACAGAATTTTGATTTGGAGTAATGCTTGAAGAACGATCATCTGTTAAAGGGGAAAGTGGGGCAGATGAAATTACAGGAGGTTCCAATCGAGCAGTATCAGTCGCAGTAACAACGTTCAAGTTAGAGTTGTTGGTCTCACCATTTCCAACGACTAATTTGTTACAATGCGATAAATTGTGTATTCCAATTTGGAAATCACGTGGATATTTCAATTTCATTGACTCTCGATAGTGAGTAGTACGTTCACGAGCCCAACATACAGCATCTGGTGCTGAAACACCAAAGCCAACACAATTACTTGTGGTAGAATGATCAGCATTTGTGACTGAGCTAGAGCAATCAACTGAGGTCTGCAGGAAGGGTGGACCCATAACCATAAAACAATTTTCAGGTGAATGTTGTAGAAATGGAAGTAAATACCTACAAGTTGATACCAAACACGAATGAAGTAAGAGGAACATATACGAGTTAAATATAGGCAGTACGTTTATGTTTACATAAACAAATACTTTTAAAAACTTCTGTTGATCATTTAGAGGCAGTGAACAATAAGCATACTTAGTAGATTGCAATCTTTTTAAAATGTTACATGAACAAGACCTGGAAATGCTAATCAGGATGGTAATCCCATAGTTTTTTTTCTAAATGCTCACAAACTGTAGTTTTAAAGCGTTTTATCAAGTAGCTAGTAGATGGTTAGATTAAAATACTAGACAACCATTTAGTTCATGCTTTGAACTAACCAAGATATAATGATGAAAATCACACTAAAATATTTGACAGATTTAAATGACACAATATGTTTCCATTCTTGCGTGATTCAAATGACCTTATTTGGTAGTACAACTAACCTCTGACAATTATTTACAAATTGATTACAATCAACGATAATTTATCAAGAAATTGATTTTAATCTTAGTTTACTCATAAAAATAACTAAATTGTAGTGTGATGGAGAAAAAATTAACCCAACAATTGAAACTTAATTTTAATGGTACTTAAGTGACCTAAGAAATACGCATCTCCCGATTTCTAATGTTTCGACTGACTTTTAAGTATGTTTATTTTTGCTTGATATGTTGTACATAAGTGTGTTATTTTATTAAATGAATAAATAAGCTATTCAGCTGGTCAACTGTTTTGTCTCCTGATCTAGGTTCATTGCAGGTGGATGTCAATAATTCGATCACTTGAATAGTTACCACTTGGCCAGGTTCTATACTGATTATGACTATTACTTGCCCGGTCACATCGTATCACTGTAATCCAACCTATAGATTAGCACTGGATATTTCATGTTAACAATCTAAAGCCTATTTAAATCACAAAATAATAATTTCTAACAAACTAATAAACAATAAGTGGGCTACGCACTTACATTATATATTATAAATTAACCTTGAAATAAATTAATGATGTTTATTTGACTATTTTTTTTACTATAAAAATAACCATAACAATAAATCCATAGAGTTTTATTATATTTGATAATATCCATTACCAAATCTATTGAAAATATTAAAAACTACACAATGATGATTTCATTATAGTGATCTCAGCACATATATAAGTATCCTAATGTAAATTGGAGAATCAATGGAAACCAGGGAGAATTCAATAATTGATACGTTCTACTTTGAACGGGTTTTTAACTAGTGTACACAATACGACTCCAAACAAGATCGAACCTGGAAAACTGAATTATTTAGTCATTTTACTTAGTTAATGATGAAAGTTGTATTCAAATTACACATAATCTTCTTAAAACTATCTTCGAAAATAAATACTTCATATATGAATTTACTCACTTGTCACCTGGTAAATCCTGGAATTCTAATGGAAGAGCGTTTTCAGGTAAACCAACACGAGTCAAAAGTAGTTTTCTGAATAAGCCATACATACATGATTTATCTTCAGGTCTATATGGTCGAACTATATATGATGGAAACCTTGAAAAATTTGGGAAAATTGAAGGTTGAATTGGAATCATTGGGGGAACAGAAGGCGCAAGTGGTGTGTATACACTTGATGCATTATCAGGCCAATTCAAACAAGGAATGGTAGTCATGCCTGGGACAGCACGACTTGGTGCAGGGAAAAGATCTTGAGCAGATTCGAGAGGTAAAATTCTCTGAACAAGGAAAAGAAAATCTCTAGTTATCATATTCAAAAGACCTTTAAATGTATGATGTCATACAGACTACAACATAACCAACTATTGAAAATTTAGACTGAAAGAAATCTAACTTGTAAGGATCGTAACAAACAAAATAGCATGCTTATAATTTAAGAAAATTGTTCATACTGATTTTATCTTAAAAATATATATGGTGTAAAACCTTACAAGGAATAATTTGTTACATTTAATGATCCGTTTATTTTTAAAGTATGATTTATATAACTATAAAGCTAATGGTTGATAAATCTGAAAACAATGAATCAAATCGATTCATAACTGAGTAAATAATTTTTGGAACTATGTAAGTATAGATAGTTCTATGAGTTTAATGGTCATCTAAGTATATAAATTAGCTTACTGTTGAAAACAGAAAATTTGTATGAACATTAGATAAAAAGTTCCACTTGATTGGTCAATAAGTACTGACCTCTGTAATTTAGTTCTGACTGAATTTTATAGATGAAGTTGCAATGTGACCTACATATCAAAATAATGCACCCGATATATTCAGTCACTTATACTAGTGGTCACATTTAATCTTGATCGATAGAATTTCGTTAGCATTCAAGAGCCCAACAAATATAACGGCGGTCGCCACATAGTGATTAACGAATCATAGATATTTCAGTCCTACATGAGGTCAATCGATCTTAAAATAGCTCGATGTTAATGTCTTAGACTATGAATTTGGGTGACGTGGGTTCGAAACCATTAGGGGCACCAGTACCCTCATGATTGCAGGTACCCCATGGTAACGAGTGCTAACTACTATAAAGCCTAAATCCAGAGTTTCTTGTCAACTAACTCCAACCACTCAACTGAATGAAAGCTAGCTGAAAAGTATGATTTTATTTACCTGAAGTTCTGTTATCAATCCACCACGAAATGTCCATGGTTCTTGATCACCAGATGTTACCATATCACGGTAACCAGGCGAAAACCCTAAAATTTTAAGAAATGGAAGATTTCAAATAAGAATAACGCAAATTCTTTTAGTTCTCATGAAATACAAAATGAAACAGGATAAAATATTGATCCGCAAAGAACAAACAAACAGCCGTACACCGAACAGCATCATTGTCAAGGAAGCCCAAAATATACATACACCGTGTATTTACATTAAAATGATGTTAAGCCTAGAGGTGGTACATAGGAATTACGCAAAGTACCCCACTTTGACTTAAACAGAAGACAAATGCTTAGAAACAAAAATGAGCTCTTTCAAGACGCTTCCCTTCTCTAACAAATGATTTCCACTATAGTTTACCCTTGAAACTAATAATAAACAGCTGTCCTCTAGTTTGAAGCCTAAGCTACTGTAAATCAATAACACGTCCCCCATTTTCATGCGTAATCATGTATATACCAGCTACTATTGGCTACAACCACAACAATAAATGATAACGTTTTTCTAAGATAATTTAGATCATGATGTTTAATCAAACTGAGAATTAATGGAAAATAGAAATAAATAAACGTTTGATAATAGTCTAGGATTTCACAACGGTGCAATCCTATACGGGATCAGGTTCAAGAAAATCTTGTATTAATTACTAAACTACTGGCATTTAATATGTATAAACAGTAGCAAACCTATAAAAACTTACATGTTAAAAGCCGCTTTAAATGAGACATGCTACGAAAAGCCATGACTCCAGTTTCTGTAAAATATGAAGAAAAACACTAGTTATGCTAAATATCTGGGAACTCAGGTTAATAGATGAAACAATATTGTAAGAAAACTTTACTTCTACCTGAAGTTTGTGCTGATGATGTCGTTCGGAATAACGATGAAATCTCCACGGCTAAACCATCCAGCTCAGAGAACAAAACACAGAGAACTTTGGTCGTTTCATTGAATAGAACTTATAAATGAACTCGAGGGCGGAGAATTACTCGGTTTAAGACAATATTTTCCTTGAAATGTTAAGAGCAATAATACTTCAGAAGAATAACTAAACTATATGTGGAGACTTGGAAAGGTTATATTCATGAAATAAACTAACAAATACAATTCAAAACAATCAGTAGAAAAGTTTTTACTGTCACAACTGATAGGTTTGTAGGAATTTACACGGGAATTAATTTGCGATCAGTTTTATTATGGTCATAATTTCAGACTAATACAAATAAAGAATACATATTCCACCAAAAACATTACTGTTCATTCTACGATTATATTGAATATGGATTATGGTTGAATGTATACGTTCCGAATGTTTTTAGATAACAATAAACAAAGCGAAACCATTTAAATCCCTGGTTGTAAATTTGGAAAGTACTTTGACTAGTGTTGTTTGATCAGACCGTTAATATTATATATATATATATATATATATATATATATATATATATATATATATATATATATATATATATATATATATATATAGCGTAAGGCTTACCTAACCATCGGAAATAATCCAGGATAATTCCAACTACACTATGAACTTCGGTTATATATGGTACTAGTTCATAGGAGATACTTTTAGATGGTAAACGTTGTATACGATCTCGTATTCGACCAATTGTAGAAACCATATCTATATAATCTGATAACTTTTTGTTCCATTCAGTTGCTTTCTAAAAGTAAAAAATAAATGAAAAAATAAAGAAACTACCATGATATTTTGTTGATTACTAATTATTCAACTAGTTATAATCAACAGAGTTTGATACAAATGTAAGTTAGCTCAATTCTCTATACCACATCAGTATTGACTAGATGAAATTAACAGGATTAATAGAGAATGAGTTGAGATAATTGTAGTAGTAATGATAGTGAGAAAGGCTAAATTTTGAAAATGTGGTTCAAAAAGACTGATTGAAAAGATATATATGAAGAAATACTGAAACTGAAGATCTGAATGAAGATAAAGGGTGCATGTATATGTGTCATTGTGATCTGTTCTGAGCTATGCGAGTTTACGTTTCCAACCACTGACTTTAAGATTATTTTAAATTATAAACCACATAAAGACATAAGTTGCTGGTTGTATTAATAACATCAAATTCTGTAATTATCTCCATAACTGTGAACTACCCGCATTTACAAACCTGAAGAATTTACATTCGTTATTTTTAGAGTTACAAGTTTAATTCCACATCATTTGATCAATTCCATTGTAATATCCTCCAGTTTTTCGAAACAAAGTCGACAAACATACATGATCTAAGGGAAGATAGTCCTAAGAGACATGCTCCACTGCGAGGTATAACGAACGTAAGCAAGCAACTTAACGAGACAAAAGGAGACGAAGTTCTACTAACGCGACCTGAAAAAGGGGAAAGATATCGTATTATCAAATCGCCATGACTTTATATTATTAAAATGTCAGAAATTCTGTTGGACGATATAAAATTCTTAAATCTGAAGGCGAAAAGAATAGAACCAAGATGATTGGAAAATAAATTACATGGATTTTAAAACGGTTCGGTCGTCCAGATAAAAAAAAGTTCAAAAGGCAAAATAAATGAGAGATATTATTAACTTATGAAATGAAGATCATTAAATTTCGATTAGTTAATGCAACGTTTGATTTTTTAGAACAAAAAATGAAAACATGCTGATTTATCACTTGTGATTAGCAAGAAATAAAGCTAACTGTACTTATGTAAGATGAATATTAATGGAATGCTTCTTCACATTGTATAATATGAAAGCATTACTTTCAGAACAAAAAGATATCTTCACACTGAACTTCATAATTGATGACTATTACCTCAAGATCAGATGGGTTAGGTCCACATACATACGAATATTCACGTAACCAATGTCCTAATTCTAGTAGACGAATAGCTGAGGGTCCATGAGAGAAAGGTAAATAGAAAAGATCAGCGAACATTTCCAAATCCTCTAAGGTAACAGTAACTGAATTTACATCACCTATAAGAGCACATATTTAAGAAAGGATACATATCTAAAGTAATATAATAATAATAATAATAATAATAATAATAATAATAATAATAATAATAATAATAATTTGGTGGAAAATAAATTAATAAAATTGCAAGTTTTAGATGAGTTTATGAATTCTTGTCAGTAGAGTTTACATATATCAGTCTGTATTTACGCTAATATATTTTCGATTACATGTCAGCTGAGATTATAACAAGTGATTGTACTGTATAGTAACTAAAAACAAACTAACAATAATAATAAAAATAATAATTATTATTATTAATATGAGGAAAATAAAGATAAGCTATTCCTATAATGATTACTTCCCTTTGTTTAATGATGCAAAACAATGTAAGACATGCAGCAAATACATAATTTTTTAGTACCATGATGACATGATTCATCCTTGACTAGTGTACCAGAGAATAATTAGGAATCTAGAATACACTACGTAATAACTTGAATTAGTTATTCGTATTACACATAAGTTTGAATCCAATGCTAACTTTGTTAGAAAAGACAGTATTGTTACAACCGAGGTTGTAATCATGTGGTTAGATAAACACTCGACTGGTTTGATTAACTGAAATTGTACTGCATGGGTGACACAGATTTATTTGACATAATTAAAATCATACTGACGACATAGTAGCTAGAAGGTCAAAACACGATATAACAAAATAGTAATCTTCAGTTTACTAGATTAGGCAATTTATTTACTTTCTCTATGTGATTTGTTTCAATAACCTGGTCAAGGATGTAAGGTATACAATAGTCTGGTTAAAAAACATATCACCAACCTATGTAAATCGATTTGGGTTACTGTTGTGAGACAATTAAGACACAACATTATTTCTAATTAGAGAGATATCTCGATAGCTAAAGGGCTTGATTTTCAGTAATTGGTGGTCATAGGCTTAACACATCTGTTTCATTTACTTCAGTTTGGAGGTAGCTAAATCCATACAATTAACCTCTCTATAAAAAGCATTACTTAGATTTAAGTACACTGGCTAGTGAATGACACCAGTTACTGATGGAATAGGTTTCCTGTGATAACTGAATGATTCGATTTTCGCAACGGGGATTCGTCAGATTAAAGATCGAAAATCTTAGATTTGTGATACCTTTCTTCATAAAATAAAAATGTGGATATTCAATGGTATTTCAATACAACCTCCATTTCTATAAGGCGCTAATTATATACACAGGTGATAATTAAAATTATCTTAGAAATCCTGGGTCATGGGAATATTTGAACTAGCTCCATCTGGACTACGGCTTCAATTACTTTACAGATTGAGTAATAACACTCAAAAGATAACGAGATCATGATTTTACTCTCTTTATCATATTATTATTCATAATAAATATTCGAGAACTGTTAATTGAGTAAACCAACAATTAATAAAACTATTTGAACTGTTATAATGTTGATTTTAAATCGATTGTAAACAAATATTTACGTTGTATTGGTAATATACGCTTTATGTTGTCAACAAATTTGATTGACTAACCTGAAATAGGGGTTTCAGAAGAATTATTATCAGAAGTCATGACGACATTGGAAGGGGTGGATTCAACCTAATAATTATCAATTAAAGCAAATATTACATGGAATTTACACGGCAATGAATACCTGTATAGATTTGAAAACATCTTATTGGAAAACATTATTTGATAGTGGTATCACTGTTCAACTTAATAATACAACATAAAACACTTAACGTTAGAATCGACTGATGATCCCGATTAATCACTTGCATGAGACTAGTTGGGCAAATACAATCAAAATGATATGAACAGCATATGTGATATTAGTCGTTTGTCTCCTTCAAGATGGATATTGTCAAGAAATTCGGAGACTGGTTTATCTAACTGTACATCTGTATGCTACTTATGTCGATAGAGTTACGAAAGTCAGTGTGGCACAGACTGTAGTAAGGAAGTGGGACGGCGAGCAGAACAACCTCAAGAACGACCATTTTTAAAGGGAAGACGAGTGTGGTGCATGCTACTTATGTCTGTCGACATAAGTAGTATTTAACACCAATAAGGAGTGAGACGCATAGCAGCAGAAAGCTAAGAAGATCGAATTGAAGAAAACAGAAATGAAAATAGGAATAAATTGTAAATTAGAATAATCACAGAAAATGTAAAGAACAATTGATGGAATACTAGTATAGGGGTTGTGGAGATTATTAAGTTTTTGATTGAGACCATGAACCGATTGATGTTAGACCATCACAATTGAAAACCTGGAAGCACTGGACGGCCGTCTCGTCCTACTGTGGGACCCCTCAGCAGTGCGCACCCACGACCCCGCGAGCGGGATTCGAACCCAGGGCCTTCGGTCTCGCGCGCGAACGCTTAACCAACTGGACCACTGAGCCGGCATCCAATGGTGATAGTTTCTAACATCAACCAATCCATGAAATTGCGCGACCAACTTCCGTTGTACTGAGGTAGATACCTGTCTCTACCCGACAAGGATTAGCTCCACTGGTCACGGCTTCTCACTAGAAATCCGAGAATTCCCTCACGAAGCTAGTCACTAGTGAGCACATGTTGATTACTAGTATAGGGGTTGTTGAGATTATTAAGTTTTTGATTGAGATCATGAACCGATTGATGTTAGACCATCACAATTGAAAACCTGGAAGCACTGGACGGATGGAATATCTGCAAATGAAGTATTTTATATATGGATCTTATATTTTACCAAGATACTGTGTAGTTTTGTATTAAAATACATTAATTACCCCCACCTGTATGTTCGTTCATTACACGTCTACTGTAACTATTTTCACATGACCATTCAAACTGGTGAATGCATATAGAGGAGATAAATTCACGGAAATAAGACGGCAAATTTGACATACACAGAATATCAAGTGAGTTTACAGCTTTCTAAGATACGAGATATGAGTCTTCGCTAACTTTCATAAGTAACCGCACTACATTATGTTACTCGTTCAAACCGAACCAAAGTCGAATCCCTTTGAACTGCACACATCAACAAAACTAAGTTATATAATGAAACAAAGTTTATAGTTTTAACAAGAATCAGAAGCTCTCATATGGCAAGTTGTATATATTCTTAGCAAAAAATGACAATCCATGAAAGGAAAGTTGTTAAAAATAGTTTTGATCTTGTATTTAATTAGTGAGAAGATTGTAACTATTGTTCAAAATCAACAGACATCATTGTACACATGATCATTTGGTATTGATATATTTATGTTCATTCATTAAAAGTGTAACATCATCTTTGATACTCCACAAACTATCCTAATTATTAGTTAGTACTCACTTGAATTCTTACATCGTATACCGCCGTGCTAAATAAATCTAAAGGATAAGCTATATCCAGTACTGTGAAGCAAAGCGCGATTACATCACAATCCATAATCTACACATACAAGTGTATTTCAAACAGAAAATACAGATAAGAAGAAATGAGCAACTAGATCGACTGAATCAGCTAAGCGTAAATGATTATCTCTTGTAAAGATATGCAAATTTTAGAACTAGACAAGATTCTCTTACTACCAGCTAAAAATAAAGAAACAACAAACAACACTGATATATCTCTAAACTGTTGAGTGCTTTTCCAGTGCTTATTGAGAGACTGTTTTGATACAGACAAACCAAAAACACTGGGCCGTATAGGAGTCTATATAATGTTCCGAATCTTTGCTGAGTAACAGAAATTTCAAAAACCTGTAAGTTGATGAACAACGGTAGGATTTCTGAGAGATAAGAGGGAGATACAGTAAATTTGTAACCTGCACATATAAAAGAAACTTTTTTATGTTACTCTGATTAAAGCAAGATAATGTAACCAAGAAAACCAGAAAAACAGCACATGACATTTCAAGATAATGAATTTGAATTAAGATATTTTAAGAGAAAAATAACCAATTGACAACGTTCAATTTACCTGCATAGGAGCTTCGTTTTGACCAGTTTCAAGATTATCTGTATCCATAGGTGTAGGAGTACCTATAGCCGTGCTAGGTTTTGAAGCACCAACCTTTAAATGAAAATTTAGAGTTATACCTTAGTAATTGAAGACGGTGGTAAAAAAAAACATTAAAAGTATCAACAGAGCTAAAAACACTATCAAACGTCAAATGATAAGAAACGCTCTGGAAACTTATCGATAATCCTAAACATGTGTAATATTAAACCCACTATTGTACATGTGTAAGGTAAATCCCATATCAGTTTACGATTAACAATTTTAAGAACAAGATACTGTTTGTGAGGACGCACTAAAGATGATATCTAAATCGATTTCAGAATTTCGGTTTATAAAAACTGACAAATGGATCAGAATTTACAATTAATTAAGTTCGAAAACAGCAGACTACATATTACTATTACTTCAAATTATGCGAAAAGTTAGCAAGCATTTCATTAATCTCTAAAAAGTTCTTTATTGATGGAGTAGCAAGTCCAGCCGGTTTTCTTCTGATTAGCGTTTTTTAGCGAGTTAGTTTTCTACAGGATGGGGTCACTAACCCCATGCCCAACCCTCCTCCTTCATCCGGGTTTGGGACCGGCAGTTGCCCCCGGAGGGGCTCCACGCTCAGCAGAGGAACCAACCAGGATGAAGTGCTGGAAGTGCATAGAACACACATTGAAGAAAGCACCTAACTGCGTTACAAGACAAGTCCTCAAATAGAATCCTCAAGGCAAAAAGGAGAAGAGGAAGATCAAAGAACACATTACGCCGAGAAATTAAGACAGACATGAGAAGAATGAATAACAATTGGATAGAACTCGAAAAGAAGGTCCAGAATAGAGTGGGTTGGAGAATGCTGGTCGGCAGCCTATCCTCTATTGGGAGTAACAGGCGTAAGTAAGTAAATAAGTAAAGTAAGCAAGTCGGGCCTCACCCTCTGAAAATCAGACGTCGTTCTTGGAGACAAGTGTAAGTAAGTAATCTAACAAAAAACCAGTTGTTAGTACCTTCAAACAATGGTCACTGTCCAGTCTGCAATTGGTAAACTGTTATATTCCGACGAGAATTATGAATGGTAACTTTTGAGAACTATTTATGAACCAATACGATACATATATTTTTATTGTATAGTTGTTAAGTAGCTAAACTATGCATATTCATGTTCCTCTTATTATAAGCTTTATTTTGACACATAGACTATTATTATACGGTTTACCGTTCTTGAGTTATGCCCACTATATTAATTACAGTCTCCCACATTCACAGCCACTTTTGGCTAGAACGTGTACAAATGTTATTTCCTATTTTATGGCACGATGTAGTCTGGTTTGTATATGAACCCAGTATGTTCGAAATACATGATTCATATCACGGAGGCTGAGATTGGTGTTCTGGACTTAACAGTCAAGGTTAGGCAGGAAGAGGGACCGATAAAGACTTTCGACTGCTCGTACGGATTTTATGTGTCATTGGTCCGGCCGATAAATCATTGTTCTCTAATTGGCTGTATCATGACGTCATATATGGATAAGGGTACAATGCCATAAGTTATAACATAAACGTACCTGAATTCGATCAAGAAGTTAACCAACTGAAAATTACGCGTATGAAGCGAATAAAATTTCGATGGGCACCAAAATAACTTTTCAATTACTGTATTAAATTTGCAATGGATAAGAAACATTAACTGATACACATACAAACTGTAAGCGATTACATGGGACAATAACTATGTGAAGTTTAGTGAACTAGACTGCAAGTCACACCTAATGTGCAAAGACTAGTGACATTGAGTAGGTATTTAAACTCTAAACAACAGTCCGGTGTATTGTATAGATCAAATTAGATTTACACCTGAGGCAAAACTCAGAAAAATGATACAGTAGAAAGTGTGCATATAAACTAACCTGAAGCATTAATGCAAGCCAGTCTCGCAAAGCTATACGGAGAGCCTCACGAGGTCTGTAAACAGATGCATATTGTCGTTTTCTACTTACACAGTCATCCTGACAGACAGACGGGTGTTCATTAATATCACCTGACTTTTGATCATCGATACCATCATCAATCACTTCGTTATCATCAGAAGCATTAGATTCAAAATCCTCACTTGTACATAGCATTTCTGTATCAGTTGATTGTATTATATGTTTGCTACCAGCTTGTCTAGATTAAAAAGTGAATAGCACTTACTTTTAATATTGCTTAATTAAAACAGACTACGAAAAAAACATATGATCGGTAATATGTAACTTTTCCGTTTCTCCTTACGTTTAAAAACAGTATAACCGCCGCCTTCTACATAAAAACGAACGTAAGGATATCGAGAACAAGCAGGATGTGTATTTCAGTGGTATATCAGCAGAAGTAAAGCCGAGATAATCAACTTTTACATTACAATTCCAATAAAAGTCAGGAGTGCGTTCTATGTGAATTACACTCAACACAGAGTTTAAGAAAATAGTTGCGCTAATATTGACAATTAATAAGCACATTTGAAAATGAATAACCTTTTTTTAAATTTGATCTTTTGATCGAGTAAGAACAGTCCAAATCTTAATACGTGACTGTGTAAACGGGAGTTTACTGTTTAAATTACTGATACAGACAACTGTTATAATACATTTCCTAATGCAGATAAATTACAAAAACCAAGTTGCAATTTACCTCGACCATTGTGCAAGAGTATGAAACGCCACATAGTTTGCTTCAAATTCACAATTCGGATTGGTCAGCACTCCTCTAAGCAAGCCTTGGCGACGTAAAGCTAAGGGTCGACCACTGTACGGTCCTATAAATACGCGACGCTGGTCATAATCATTAGCATGTAGATTGTCCCATAAAACGATAGGATGTTGTAGTAAAGTAGATAATTCCTTCAGCTCCTTAGTTAAAATTCGTTTAGATACTACAAGCGGACCGGTCCAGATTACAGCGATACCTTAAGTCAATTTTTAGGCATTAATTAAAAGAAAAAACATTAACTTTGAGAATTTACTAACTACATATATAAGAATGTTATCTTGCCCATATTTTCATATCGAAGACATACTGTCAGATCATAGTTGCTTTTTTCGAAATAGTAATGAAATTCAGACAAAAAATAATACCTAACTTTTACTGTCATCTACAATAACAGTCGCCTATGTGCTGTTCGGCTAAACAGCTCCATAAGAACTCGGAAGGATAGGGACAAACAACATTGCCTTTTCGTCGTTTCTGCCTACGCTCTCACCGACTGCAGCTCAGATGAAGTGAAAGATGAATTTTACAGACATACTGATGGAAACAACGTTCTCGTTCACTGAATTCTCGGGCATTGGTCTCCTACCAGAAGGTCCACTTATCGACTTAGAATACACAGATGACACAGTTCTGTTTGATGAAGACGCTGATAAAATACAGTCTTCTGGTAGCACTGAGCAACAATGCTAGAATGTTTGGGATGTGCTTTTCCCCCTTCTAAATGCAAGTCGTTGCTCCAGGACTGGTCTGGGTCAACACCTGAACTAAGGATAGGGAGTGAAGTAGTCGAACGAGGTGACAACCTCACTTATCTTGGAAGTCTGATCAGCCCTAATGGGTTGGTGTCCGACGAAGTCTCTGCACGGATTCGAAAAGCTCGTTGGGCTTTTGACAACTTACATCACCTATGGTGAAGGCGAGATATCCGTCTATCATTTAAGGGACGAGTATACTGTACAGCAGTTCGTTTAGTTCTACTTTATGACTGGGAAATGTGGCCATTAAGTGTAGAAGATACTCGTAAGCTACTAGTATCTGACCACAGATGCCTTAGAAATATTGCTCACAACCGATGGGATCACTGGGTAAGTGATAGTGAGGTTAGACGCAGGGTATTAGAGAATGATGATAAGTCAGTTCATGAGGCTGTAAATCTCCATCGACTAAGATGGTTGGGCCACGTGTTACGTATGCCTGAACACCGATTACCACGACGCGCAAAGCCGATTAATGTGGGAGACGGTTGAAGGGAACTTAGGGGCGGCCAAACCAAAACGTGGCATCAGTCCTTGAAGTCACTAACTTCTAGTCTTAGCCATGTTGGTAGATGCAGAGTATTCTGATGGGGTCCGCGTGACTGTCGTAACCAGTGGTTGGAGACTGGGTGACATGACTCAGAATCGATCACAATGGCATCGGTGTATACACTCTCTATCTTCCCTTAAACTATTAGATTAAAATTGCTTTATATCTTTCTTTCCACTAACTAATTCTTTCTTCCTGTACTATATCCTTATACACAATCTTTCTTTTATACATTACTACCATTGAAATGACTACTCCTATGAACTTGGTGTTCATCTTGTTGTGCTAATGAAATGTGGCAGTTTGGATCGGTGCATGTATGTGCCTGGTCCTACGTTGCAGCTGACTGACTGATATCTAAAATAAATTACCGGAAAGGTGAAGAAAACAATTTTGCAAATAAAACTGTACATCTATACTAAGATTGAATAGCAAAGTACTTCCAAACGCGAATATATATATATATATATATATATATATATATATATATATATATAACGAACAAGATTTAGTGGAATCATCAATTTTAATGAAACTTTTAATCCGAATACTGCGCATACAACCATATATTCAAATTTTTGGTGAGAATTTAAATGGATTTACAGAAAAAGCAAGAAATAATCAACAAAATTACAATCACAAAGTAAAACACAGCGGACGTTTTAATAGACAAACGGATAGCTTGCCAACGCCATATATAGCCCAAGTGCGTAAAAGCCAATCGAGCACTTTAATTTCGTGCTCAGATCAAGTCAGCTACTAAATCACTAAGGATAATGTTCAACACACCACCAGTTTACTTCATATGATTAAAATAGGTACTGACACAAATTAGCCCTGAGGTAAAATTTCGCAGTTGGGAGAAAAACTAGTTTGAAAAATTATTACGTTATTACTCAAGGTATTTAAAAGACTGTTTCGTCAGCATCTTGATCAAACACTATTTTATCTGAAAATTTTGGGTCAATGATTGAGTTTCTAACAAAATCATGCACTTGAAACATTAGACAAATCTGATCGGAGTTTCTGCGACAATGAATCAGTCGAATTGTCCGCTGAGGCACCTTACCCAGTCGTTCAGCACGTCTTTGAAAATTACTAATTGTCACACCGTCAACCACAAACTGTTTTACTGACACGAGGTTTTTGTTGCGACTACCCTGAGTTTATTGCGCAACAAGTATATCCACTGATTACAGTTCTGTAGCACTCTACGACTAATAGGTGTTTATCTTTACCTAGGCTGACTCCTGAACTCCTGGTTTTCCTGAATAAACCGACAAGGGACAAAAAGCGTTAAAAATTCTGAGGAAATCCAGCGTTTATATGAGAGACGCTTACCAAAACTGAAAGAGACAGTATCTAACATTTTAATGACGTCTTGTGAGTGCAACCAATGTTCATTTACGCTCTGTGGTGAAATGAGCTTAAACTAGAAACGATAATAGATGTAAATAAGAAACTTATGAATTCATAAGACGAAATTTTAGAAAAGAGCAAGTTACAAATATATTACCTGGTGCTAAACAGGAAGCGACTGTCGCCAGATATTCTGACTTATTAATATTAGGTACTGCTAAACTTGCACTGTACTCCGTTGGACAGAATAAAAAGACATCTGGACATCCTAAATGATTGTAAATTTCATTCGCGAACATAACCTGAGCACGGGCTGATGAGTTAAATACCTCTCGATCTGCAGGACATAGGCGTGGTTCAATATCATCAAAAAGAAGGGCAAATGCACGACAACCAAGTTTTGAAACCTAAAACATCGATATCATATATGATGCGTATATACGGGTTATCAAAAAAAACGTAAAACGTCACTGACAAACACAGCTAACGATCTGGTAAGAATAAAAACTAACAAACGTCACGATACAGTAAAGAAGAATCAGTAGAACGAAAAGCTAGGAATTTGAAATAACAATTGCTGTGGAAAACTATATGTAAAAAATATCAGTCTCATGAAAAATTGAAATCCAGGAGAAGTGTTAAATATTACTATACTCAATAACTAAAGTAAAGCAAAAAACAGTTACATTTGGGCCACTGTGACCTATTTTGTCGCGTCATCTAAAACCCCTAACCATACTTCATAATCATCCTACGAACCCCCATCAAGATTTCAAGCACATAGCTAAAGACCAGTCATAATTTTAAAAAGTCCACACAATAAATAGACGCAAACATGACTTACTGACGTTTAGTACCGACAAAAGCAGTTGATTAACAAATATGGTGGTGTATTCTTTGACTTGGGTGGCCTAACTCTCAGGCTTTCATTGCCGTTCTAGACAACATTATCAGTGCCTAATTCACACAGAAGTGAGTCTTTAATAATTAGGAATAAATAGTAGGACTAATAATAAAAAGCAATGATAATGTCGACCACAACAACGAAAAATACCCAATTAAACCATCCGATTAAAAAAGTGCAACACTAAAAAAGCATCTATCTGAGCTATAAATCTTTACTATCACTTCAGACAATTTACATGCTTATTGTCAAAGTTTGTAGAAATTAAGAACGAACGATTCAGAAGACAGTAATAGAGATAAACTATCAGCATATTGAACTACGGTTCTAGAATGTGCATATATTTTAGCGCGCTTGATCACATTAGCTAGAGACAATTTTTAGGGATAACTTCAGCAAATTTTAATGAAACTCATAATGAGTATATATATATATATATATATAAAGGGAGAGATGTTTTGTAATCAATATTAATCAACTTCAAAATACACCGAGACAGATCAGAGACAATCACTAATAATTTAAAAATGGGCATTTTTTTCATAAATGAATACTTTAATGTTTCTAAAATACCACCAACAGATTAAAAAACGGCTTCTTTTTTTCTCGGTTTGAAGTTGCAGTATTTACATAGTTCGGGATTCATTCGCACAAGTTCGTTTGTAGATATACTATAATTTGTTAGCAAAACAAACTAGATAATCCGTGAGAGAGGGGTAAAAGTAACACTAACGTCTGTAGATTTTAGGAAACAGGATAACAACTCTGACTAGTGCTTAATATTTCCTATCACTGATTAGCTCTGATGCCGTTAACATAGACTAATATTTGAGGGACGAAAAAAGATAACTGGAACCATATTTTTGTAAAAGATCCCCTGATGATCATTCAGCAGGTTAAAGTGAATAGGAAGTTGTACGCAGGTTTTAAGAAAGCAGATAAACATCTCAGCTACAGTGCGAGTAGCATTCGTAAGAGCAGCCAATAGTTAAGGGAATCGCTGAATGTTAGTAATAACAACTCTAAAGAGAAGTCCTTGATAACACAAAACAGAAAGCGCAAGATATCTAATATGTCATCTAAATAGATTGGTTAATAAACTATTTTGCAACTCAATTCCCACGTACGGATTGATACAATGAGATTTGGAACCGGTTATTAAGGAGTTAGAAAAGTCATCCACCCATCTAGATGAAAATAGGTGGGGTAGATAAACACTAAATATTTGAGGCAGTGACCTTAAAAATTTCCTAAACGCTCTCGAAGTCTACTTGTCGGAATAAACAGCTCTAATTACATCACCTTGAGTATCTAAGTACCTAGACTGATTAAATTTTCTGTAATTAGTGGAAAACCATGATTCTGTGTTCGGACAACATTTTGAAGGCACTCAACCTTTATGAATAAACCAACTGTGTATACGCTTACCTGATCAACTTTTTTCTTTAAAATATCTACTTCTTTAGCACTAGAGAACGTTACATCTAAGCCCGGTGATATAGCAAAAATAAAAAGTACTCCAGCTTCAGTGGACTCAGTGATCAAAAACTGAAGTTGCTGCTCTTCCTCTGGAGTGTACAAATCCCTCCATGACTGTCTGTGTTTTATATCATCCTTAGGAGCATATAGGTAAGCATTCATCCCCATTTGATTCATCCTCCGAAACAGTTCTTTCCGTTGGGGATATGTCCAAGGTCGACCATAAAACCCTAAGTGTAAATTAGATAGAACATAATGTACAACATACCTTCAACAACGCCTGTAAGAAATTCTTTATTTACAAGTGACTTACTGTCTTCGTTGGCCATTTTCAGGATTGAAGCGCCGTAGAGTACAACCTGATCTACTGGCTGGAATGGTCGTGTGAATGAATGTCCCGACGAGATAAAGTTAGGCTTCAACTGCACTGACACAACCGAATAGCAGGAACTGAACAGTTATCGTGGATCAAAGTGACACTTTTCCGATCAAAAAATATCTAAATTCTCCAACCGTTTTTAGCGTTACAATAATTCCCTCCTTTATTTTGTTCGTGATTCTTTCAATAATCACCAAGATAAAAAGTAATATTTCGAAAACAAGACGACCACGATCTGAAACAAAACTAAACAAAAACGCGATTGTAGAACAGTTAAAATGACAGGTACTGAAAACTTTGTTCAGATAAGATTACAGTGAAAAATGCATAAGCTTCAGACAAATATAGTGAGCTAGTGTGGATAAATGTTAATTGGCTTTCCAGTCTCCTAACTTATAAGTGAACTTAACCATAACTTTTATAATTCTATGTAACTGAGCAGCTGATCCTGTCAATGGATTTGTCTTCAGATATGACGTATAATAGGAGTAATTGTGATGCAAATCGCGGTGATTAGTCGACATACCTAATTAATTTAAGAGTGGAGTAAGCGCTTGCTTTATGTACAACCCAGTGGTCTGGTACTATCTTTTTCAATAAATGCTTGCAGTACCGATGTATTGCAACTTGGATCAACACACATCCCTGTCGAGTTGTACGTCATGGCTGAATAGCCTGCGGTAATGTCTGAAGGGTTTGTAAAATACCCGTGGTGAATGCTGCATTTATTCTCATACATTTTACGTGACATGACAACATCAGTATCCCCGAGCTCATTTGGTGCCCAAGTTAAACAAAACGTAAGTACGATTAACTTCTGTAGATTATTATTCATCTGGTGGCTTTTTCAAACTCCGGATGTGGCATAAGTTACTTGTATCCTTAAGCCACCAGTAAATTGCTTTGACGGCTGGCACCGTCTCGTTCCTGTGAACTGTATCCCAAACTGCTGGCAGAAACCAACAACTTAGTCCACAAAGAACATATACATCACACCTATCGTCAATAAAAATTAATACACAAACTTCATATGTCTGCCTTCCTAGTTCTCATAGAAAATGATTCTTTTTTAACATATTCAGCATGCGACTCACAGCCAATAACCCGTCTTTTTATCTAAACAGATTTATGATAATTCAGAAATGATGGCCTAATCAAGAATAAGTACCTACAACAAACAAAATGATCCTTCGAAATGGTCAACATGTTATTAGCACTGGATACATACCTAACAGATTATACATATTAAAATTATTGAAAGCCCATTAGTAAATCTCAAGAAAACCACAAACCTGATTAAATGAAGTGTACTAGCATCTCTTCCTATAACCCAGTCCCTAACATTGTCAACTGCACACCATGCACATGGAAGACACAAGAAACGCGAATTCTTTTCAAAAGGCACTACGGTTGTCAATTATTTAATTAAATATATGGAACAAGTCACACGATTTCCGGCAACTATCTAACGCTCAATGACATTACCCAAATTTACTGTTAAAACTAGTGTAACTACAATGATAATTAACATGTACATTAGTTGTTGAAAAGGTAGTAGGTACGCTAGTTAGAGTACAAGATATTTTCGAATCCCATCCAAGCCGGGCTGTAATTCAAAACCGAATAACTCCCAAGTGTATAGCATGAGTTACAATCCACACCAAATTTTGTGTAACAGAAACATCATGTCATATCATCTTTAGCATTTATAGACAATCTAATAAATATATTCTCGTTACGTAATCCTAAATGTACATACATTTAGGACCACATAACAGGAATCAATAAAGCAACATTTAAGTCAATGTAATCGAACTTAAAGATAGGCTTCCTTCACATCCGACCAATATTTTCCTACTGCGCTCCACGCTCAAGAACTTTGATTTTGTTAAGTGATCCCTTAATTTTATGGGATTAACACGTTTGGATAACAAAAAACCCCAGGAAACTGGACTCTCGCAACAGTGGGCCACCCCATGAAAACCAGAAAATCTTAAACTTACACACTTTTGTAATGAACACGGATAAGTCAGAGGCTAATGTGTATTGAAGCGATTCAAACGACCAGTTTGTCTTACCTTCAGTGTCCTATCAATTCATAAAATGCGCGCTTAAAATTCAAAAGCTAAACATTGTTGCGGAAATTATTATTATTATTGTTACTTAGGTTCTGTGACTTGGTTGTAGAAGACTTTTTTTCAACAAATGAGAGTAATTGCTCTCTATATGTTCTTTCTTAAGTGTGATCGGTAGAAGAGATCATGTACTAACATTTGATGTGATCATTTTCTATACCTATGGAACTAAAGTTAACCTCTGCAATTCTTTTGAGAGATTCTTTAGTAGATAGCATTATTATAGCCTCTGGTAAGAATTTTCACGATCCTATGATTCTCACCAAGGAGATGTTTGAAGGGATTTTCATGCAACTTATTCTTTTTCTATCATAAAAATATACCCAATTATGTTCATTTTAGTACCAAGATGAATAAGTCAACGGGATTATAAGCAGTATTATAAAAAGAGGTCATATCTCCTCCTACAATTCTCTATTGTGCAAATTGCAAGTTTAGAGTTTACAGGCGAGTCCAATAGGGTTTATGTCATAGTCTGAGTACCTTTTAAGTTGCTTGTCTTCGGACTCATTCCAAGAGGGCAGTATTCTTTTTAGAGTAAGGGAACATAATTTGAGAGATTCTTTTAGATGCGATCCAAAATAAACTATAAAAAGTTTCAAACTGTTTTAAAATCAAGGTGCCTGTTGTTCTGGAAATAAACATTAAGGCCTTGTGGGATGCAAAATGTCACTGGGAGAAGGCACCAAAGTATGGAATGAATAGAGCATCAATATTATTTACCATAATCCTTCTTCAGTTACCAGTAAAAATACTGAGGTTTTTTGTTCGTCCAGTCTTACATCAAGATATTAATCGGACTCAGTTTTTCTCTCCAACTCTTGACCGGAAACGGTCACACATCCCGTGAAGAAGCACCTTACGTAGGTGATCTGTTTATAGACCAAGAAAGACGGATAACCCCGACCGGTATCATAACTAATATGAAAATTCTTCCAGAAATTGCAGAAAACCCTGCAATTTTCTGAACTCAAGATGAACCGACGCGAAAAAAATTCGAGGAACTTCCTAGCCGGCACGCGTTAACGGCAACCGTAGCCGGTGAATATAGCCGTCTGTTGTACTTCACAGATGTGATAACGAAAGCTCACTACCTCATCGCTACTGGCGCAGAACTTAGTGTTCTTCCAGCAAATTCTAAAGACCGGCTTCACGAATCAGTTCTAAACTTACAGGCGGCAAACGGAAAGCCTATCGCCATATATGGTAAAAGGTACGTTTACCTCAATGGGGGTTTACGTAAACCCATTCACTGGATTTTTGTTGTTTCAGATGTTTCTATGTCAGTCATTGGTGTAGACCTCCTAACACACCACAATTTAATAATCGATACGCGCAAACGGAGGCTAGTAGACGGAAACACTAATTTCTTTTTCCGGTTCCAGTCACAATTAAGCACACGAAAGACCCACTTTATCAACCACTACTCGATAGGTATTCTGGAACATGCGAACCGTAACCGAAATTGCCGTGTGTAACCAGAAACGTTACACATTGCCTTTATTCTCTAAAACATGCCAAATAGCCCCTGGAAAGCTGAGGTTGGAGAAAAAAGAATTCGATCACATGATAGACTTAGGAATCATAAGAATGTCGAATAGCCCGTGGGCATCTCCGTTGCACATGATCCTTAAAAAGGACAACAACGATCGGCGTCTAACTGGTTACTATCGGCGATTGGGTGCAAAAACCATTCCAGTTCGTTAGCCGTTGCCTCACATTCACGATTTGACAGCTACCTTGGAAGGTACAACTGTCTTTGCGAAAATCAACTTAGTTAAAGGGTATAACCAAATCCCTATGGCTACTGACGACATCCTAAAATCCGCTATCATATCTCCCTTCGGACTCTACGAATTTTCGCCAATGACTTTCGACCCAAGAAATGCTTCTCAGGCTTTCCAAAAGTTTTTCGAGGTCTCAACTTTGTACATGCGTATATTGATGACTGCTCGATAGCAAGTCCGGACAGAAAATGCTATCTCTTGCGTCTGGACCTTAGTTTCCAACCATCCCTACAGATCTCGGACTCTAGTTCGAATCTGGACTTTTCCGTTGTCTGACCACACTGTTAGGAATCATTCGTTTCCGAACGGACGCCTACCACCCACAAACAAACTGGTTGGTAGTGTAGAATTATGGTCTACTATGATATTAGTACTGCTCTAATAATAGACCTAATCCTAAATTTGTAGATTTGTCATGATATAACTGCCTAATCTGTAAGATCTTACGTGGAAGTCACACCATCGACTACACCAACTCACTGTATCGTATCAATTACCAATACATGATGTAGAACAAGGTTAGGCTAGAGAAAGAACAATATATTTAATATGAACAGAAGATATAAAGTAACATTCAGATGGACCACGACTGCATGGACGAGCCATGCCATCCGATCAAACCCAGTCCATTCAATTCCTTGTTCGCGCCTTCTCCATTGTTAGGTATTTCTCCGCGTTAAATATTGAATATCTATTTTCTGAGTAGTCTCGTGTTCACAGCTTTGTGGATTGTGTGGCTATTGTCCAATGCCACTACAGTAGAACGTTTTCACCGACAACTAAATGCTTCACTATCAGCTGCAAACGTTTCACAGTAGACCGACGCTCTTACACTCGTCTTACTAGATATTTGCAATGTAGTGAAAGCTGACATTGGATACACTGCGGCTCAACTCGTTTATGGAACGACACTTCGACTTCCAGGAGAATTCGTGGATCCTTCATCCTCTTCAATGAACATGGATCTAACATACTACACGAACAGGCTTACAAACGCAATGCGTTCAAATAAACCTGTTTACACTCGACCGCAATCAACTGATGCTTTTGTTCAACCTGACTTACGATGTAGTACACACGTCTTCGTACGTCGAGACTCGCATCGACGACCTTTTGAATAGGCACATGAAGGACCATTCAAAGTTTTTCAACGCAAACCGAAGTACCATATAATCGATAAGAACGGAACAAACGATAGCATCAGCATCGATTGTCTCAAAGCAGCGTATTTAAAAGGAAATCTTAACCACGTCGATTTTCCTTCGGTACAATCGAACGACAAGACTCCGACACTTGTAATACCTCACCCGACAACTAACACGCACGATGATACTTGGACAGTATTCGAAAATAAACCTGAAACAACGCGTTCTGGCAGAAGAGTAAGGTTTCCAGAACATTTAAACAATTATTGCACGTAAGGCACTAGTTAACATTTCGTTTCATCCCGATTTTTCTGTCATATATATATTATAAAAAACCAATTTTGATATGCTTTCATTCATATCTTTATTAGAAAATTTTTTGATGCACCTAGCTGAAGGTGCTCGGTCATGCATCCGCACCAGATCACGAGTGGGAACGCCGTGCTCAACATCACCTGCAAAAGAATGGAAGAACGTTTAATACGGCCTAACTCGGGTGATATATTCAGAAAACGAACAAGAGGGAAGAAAAGTGGTTGGGTTAGACAGTATATTTGGCATTAAGTAGATATGGATGAACATGAAACTATTGAATCACCTCTAGGATTAGAAACCCATGAGATGGGTAAGCGCATAAGGCTGATTCAGTTCCGTCTAACTAAAGACACATGTTGAAATTCAAAAGGACGTACTATGATTTCAAGTGTTGTTAAAGCCATAGATTTCCTGAGAATCTACCTCCTCAGTGATCACTTCAGACTACTTATTCATAGAAAATGAGGATAAAATGCCACAAGAAATATATCCTTGAAAATGGGGTGTTGTTTACATGACCCAGACAAAACCACTAGAAGCAATTTAAAATAGATTCAACATGACAGATGACATTCATGCTTCGGTTGATCGTACAAAAAATTGATACACTGTATTGTGATTTTTCAGGCAATTTATACGACGTTAAAATGAGAGTCTATGGACAACAAATGAACCTTATTAAGTCTCTTTATCGTCTAAGTATTTCAAACATCATATTTGTAAAGTATTGAGCATTGATGATTTGGTGTCCGATGCGCTATATTTAAAGCTACTAGATTATTCATCAATTTCCCGTTGTCACAATGGGGACTGACTCATCGATGAAAGCTGTTGAGGAACAGTCTGGTCCAAAGAAGGAAGAGACTTCTAAGGATGACCTGGTAGTATTTTTGTCCCCCAAAACATTATTTTTAGTCTGAGGAAGACAAACAGCTTCAGGACGAGCTAAATATGCTCGTGGACAGACTTGAGGAGCCGAACCAGGAACTACATAAGCCAGCTTTAGAGTCCATGTGTACATTGATAAAGTCCTCTACAACGTCCATGACATCCGTTCCCAAGCCCCTAAAATTCCTGATGCCTCATTATGCCAAAATTAAGTCTTTCTACAACACTATATGTAATCCAGATACGAAAGTGAGTTTTACAGTCTGATTACTTATTTGCAGAAACTTTGCGCTGATGTCGTATCCGTTCTGGGCATGACTGTAACTGACCAGCCTGAAACGCGTTACGATACACTGACTTACAGACATCTTGGTTGCCAGGGTGATATCGGAGCTTGGGGTCATGAGTATGTTCGTCACTTAACGAATCAAATCGTCGGTACTTGGCAAGAAAAAGAATACGATTCACTAATGGATAATCCTGAAGGTATTTGCTGTAATTTTGAATAAGTCTTCTTTAGCCACAAACGAAATGAAAAAGCATCGAGAAGACTGCCTCTCTCTTGTTCACCAAATAATCCCCTACCTGATGGAGCACAATGCAGAGGCTGAGGCAATTGACCTTTGTATCGAAATTGAACAGCATCATCTTCTACAGATGTATACATCAAGTTTAAACTATACTCGAGTGTGTCTTTATCTGACGAGCTGTGTAGCTTATCTGCCTACACCAGATAACAATAAGGTAAGTTGACAAGTTCTAGGCGGATTTCTCAAGTCATCCTTTGAACTCTGCTGATGTTATGCTCCTGTTAACTGGGGATCTTTATTTAAAGTATTTTTCTAAACTTAGCTTTTAATTTACCAGTTTATTCATCACCCATTATGTTGACATTCACATTCATACAAGTTGATTATCAACCAACTTTACTTTTTTTGTATAGGCAGGATCTCTAGGTAGTTGTTAGTCTTGGCAAGTATTCCGTTACGGAAGTTAGCTATTTCTAGTTGATGTATAAGCAACTAGCTTCAATATTTTTTGTGGTTTATGATTATTCGTGTTAACACACGCATTAGTTATGTAACTTAGTCATGATGAGTGGATGCTGTTTATTGACTTCATATTATCGTGTCATCTCATTTACCACCCCTGTCCATACAATTCTTAACTCAAGCGGAGAGTTTAAGTGTAATGTCTTCAGTTTCATACCCAATTTTAGGACTATCCGCTGATATTTGAACCCGTATGAATATTTAGTTGAGGCTGTTCCGGACATGAGAGATGTCATGTTCTTATCAACTGGTAGATAATTTACAGTTGGCTTATCATCGGGTAAAGGCGAATGTCAGGTCCTTTTTTGTTCAAATCGAATTATGTATGTTAAGTTGCTATGTGGCTACTGATCTAGATGCTTCAGCGTCACGTGCACTATATTGAGGTGTAAGGTGATGGTTAGGGGCAGTCGATAAAGAACCGTGAACATAGGTTTCGTACTGTTTGGGACTCATCATAAGGGTATAATTGTATCTGATGGTAAATACGCTTCCATATGCCTAATAAGTGGGATATTTTAGTTCCAAGCGTTACGGCTTTGTCATTCTCCTTCATATATACAAGAGTAGTTCCTAATTCTTCACCGTTTGGTAAATATTCAATTTCTAGCAACGCTTTCCAAACACTAAAAGTTTTAGTTTACCATTATATGTATATAAAAGATTTGCTTTCATCCATTTGCTAGATATATGGATATCAATGGATTTTCATCATGAAGCACTTTTATTAGGCTGAAGTATTTTTGGTTACTCGGGTAGTTACTTTTCATAAGGGAATTTTGTGCCTTGCTAAACACTTTATATAGGTTTGTAAGATTATCAATTTGATTCTAAATTCCGTCCTTTCTTGTTGCTTATCTCAGGTACTTCAGTATGCAACTATTTTGTACCGTAAATTCGAGGATTTGGGCAATGCTATGCGTTGTGCTTTACGTCTAAATGACATGAATTTGATCCGCGAAATATTTTTAGAGTCTGGGAAGGTTAAAACAGGTTCTCGTAATTATGGACCAGCTATCCAACGTCAACTTGCCTATCTTCTTGGCCGACAGAACATTGTATTTCCAGATGAGGAATGTTTAGCAGATGAGGAATTAACAGAAATGCTTTGGAATACCAGGTTATCAGAACACTTCTTGTCTCTTGGTCGTGAATTAGACATTATGGACCCAAAGGTGAGTATTATCCATATATGTATAACAATAATCGTACTGCTGATAACATGCTATTATTTTTTCCCTCACAGTTGTCTTTTATACTGAGTATTTTCTAAACTTACTACTTCCTATCATCCCCAAAAAGCCTCACTGTTTGTAGTTAGCCATCTAATCGTTTAGTCCAAAACATGGTTATGTTTTCATTTTATTTCATACAATATTCGTGTTTAATTCACTGCGTTTAGACCATTCCAAAACGTGCATTTCTAAGTTACTATCATAATTGTAAACAGTGCAATGTGAATACTAAGTTAATTTAAGAAGTACAATATTGTTGTGCAATACATTTTAAAAGCCTAACCACATATACAGTGTGTAAACTCACATAAATCCGAAGATCCATTGGGGGTTGTATGGAACCCTTAATCTTATTCATTTGGCCAATAAGATTTTGAGTAATACATAATTGATAGGAGGATAATAACTGTCTTAATGTGCTAGGGTAGTTTTATAACATCCCTATTTGTAACAGATTAGTGACGATAGTCTGGTAGTTGAACGCAAATGTTATTGGTGTTATACTGCAGGTTGGTCGAATTAAAACAAATGTCACTTTTCACTACCGCTAAACAACAATCATTTATTTCTAATAACTACTTAAGAGACCAAGGAATGATTATAAGCAATCTTTTGTTGAAACTACCGAATATCAGATGACTAATAAGACCATGCATATATGTGCCTGGTCTTACGTTGTAGCTGACTGACTGACTGACCGTGCATTTCTAGTTTAGTATTCGTCAAAAATTGACCATTACTTGATCCATATCACTTTAATAGCGTTTAAAGTTTTGGGTTACAGTATCTGCGCATTTTCATCAAGGAAATGATCCAGGATAAAACCTATGGAAGTTAGCTACCGGAAAACTAAGGGAGCGTGAGTAGATTAGTTTTATCAGCTTGTAGGCCAATAAGTCAATTTCGTCTAAATATTCATTTTCTATTCTAAGTAAATACTCAGAAGCATCTGAAATTGAATTGATGTGACATATTAATGTTTCGGTCAGATAGTTGTTTCTCATAGATACCTCGTACTTGTGCTGACCCATTTGTTCCATGCCTTACGTTAATTACGCCTGATTAGTGAAATATCTGTATCGGGAACATCAGGGGTTTTCATGGGTCTGAATAAACGATCATTAAATCTATCATTTTTCAGTTTCTGGCGTAAATTATGTTTACGTATTTGAGAATTAATATCAGTGAGCAATCATTCACGAAGAGATCAAGCAATTATTTGTTTAGGATCGTGAACAGTAAGTAAATGATTGACTGACTGATTTCACTTCTTGGAAGAACCATTGTAATATTTGAGGCCGTTATAAACTTATTGAGGTTGTTGACTCTAATATCGACGAGCAATGATGTAATAAATTTTATTGACCGAATTCTTAGATCTTCATGAACTTATTCGCTTTAGTAAATAACGGAATAACGTTGGCCGTATAAGAAGAATGTGTTTACCCAAAATATTACTCATTATGAGCGTTAATATAACCCAAAAACAATACTGTAAGAAGATACAATGGATAAGATAATGAGTCTACAGATACACAAGCACACATAAGACAGACAAAATTGATACGGATTCGAATAAAATAAATAAATGTGTTCAAGGTCAAATTTCCTTATGAATAGAATTTATGAGGAATGTAAAGATAACTCAATAGTCTGAAAACCAGAATAAGCTTATACGTAGATTTCATAGTGTCATAAGAACATAAGCTAGTGTGAAAATGACTGTTGTTGCTGTAGCAATCACATAATTTTGGAAAACCGAAATGCATAATGAACAAGCACAAAAATTAGATTTTACTTGAAAGGTGTATTTCTAAGTACGTAGATATCTTTAATTCTGTGACGGCAATGCAAAGTGTATATTATATTTGAAAAGCTGTTTTAGCCTTGAGAAGTGTAATTACTACCGATGACAATGCAATTACATTAGTCCACTTAGCTCCAAGCTTATATAATATTTTTTCATTGATTTTCTTGCATTGGCATAAGTTACCAGAGGATATCTACAAATCTCATTTGGAGGCAGTCAGACCAACTTTAAATGCGGCCACTTTAGACTCGGCACGAGCTAATTTAGCTGCATCCTATGTGAATGGACTTGTAAATTGTGGTTTCGGTAAGGAGAAGCTACTACAAGAAACGCCTAAAGAGGTCCCATGGTTGTGCAAACAGAAGGAATTCGGTATGTTTTGATCCCATATTTTTTAGTCCCACGTGTTTTTACTATGGTTAGTGTCCGCTGTTCGCTTTGTTACCTATTAACAGAGTTTCCATATTCTTTAGAAGTCGTCACACGTTTTTGATTCAGATATAGTTAAACACTTTTTGATTCATTTGTTTTGTGTGATCAGGGAGTTTGATCAGTGTATATATTTATTTGTTCTACATTGGTCATATTTGTCCTATTTTTGATCGTGTGGTCTATCAGGTTAGATGATGTAAAAGCACACCCATATGCTGCTTATATATGTTTAACCAGTCATCATTCTGATTATTACATGTTGTGAAAACTACCTTTTTTGTTTAAACTATATTTCTAAAATATTTCCAACTTCTTTCGCAAACCATTTTGTATATCTTATTTCATTTGTATTAGGTAAAATGAGTACTGTGGCTACGCTCGGTTGGGTACTTTTATGGGATGTTGACACTGGGTTGTCGCAACTTGATAAATATCTTTATTCTGTAGAGGATCATACTCGTGCTGGTGGTCTTTTAGGTTGTGGAGTTGTCAATTGTGGTGTTAAAAACGAATGTGATCCTGCGTTAGCTCTCCTTGGATCTTATGTAGATTCTGACAAGGACGTCCTTTCTCGTGCGGCAATCATCGGTCTCGGTGTAGCTTACGCTGGTTCAATGAAAGCAGAAGCTATAAGCACTCTTACACCTGTTATCCTGGATATTAATACAGCGAAGCTTCAACATGCTTGTTTGGCAGCACTTTCAGCAGGCCTTATCTCAGTTGGTTCACTTGATGGGACCGTCACTTCCACTATCATTCAAAGTTTATTGGAAAGACCCGCAAGTCATTGGAGCAATGTTTTTAGCAAATTTATGGCACTTGGTTTAGGTTTAACGTGTTTAGGCCGACAGGAGGAAGTTGAGGTTATTCTGGCTTCTTTAGAGGCTGTATCTGAACCTATGAAATCAATGGCTCACATGATCTGTGACTTTTGTGCTTATGCTGGTAAGTGTGTATCCTTGTTTGTTGAGAACTATTTTGGTTATTTTTCTGCCAGTTATTTATTTTTCATCCACATTTGCAATTTATTTATTTTTCAATTTTATTTATTTAAACACATAAACATTGGTACAAGGAGGCATCAAATAGATATGTGCCACATAAATTATTTAATTTGTGTGAGGGCTGAGATACTGCCTGGGTGCCTAAACCGAAGCAGGTTATTTGCAATCGTAATCATATTAAGATAGATAATTTATCTGACAGTGTAAATAGGCTTTATAACACGTAAACGAAATATCGTTATTATTATTAGAATCCAAACAGATTTCCCATCACTTACTTATATCAAACAGTCATTTAAAAAACCAAAAGAAACAACTTAAGCTTTTTCATTTTATTTTAGGGGAATATGATTCGTTTTGGATTAATCATTTACTGAATACATCGCTTTAGCATATTATCAACAGTCTTACTTATCAAATCAACACGTTTCACGTATGTTTGTAGGTGAATTTGCTACTCGTAAAACCGTACAAAAAGTGTTATTTTTGAACAAATTAACATAGATTGTCGTCCCATGATGTGCCAGCAGTATAATCTGGTAGATAAACTAAATATGACTTATTATTTAGCTTTCTCACATTGGTTAGCTACGCTGTTTATTAATACGATTTTTATGCTCATTTATTTTGTAAAGGCAGTGGAAATGTATTAAAAATTCAAAATTTACTGCATATCCTCTCTGAAAAGTATGAAGAAAAAGAAAATACTGATAAGGCTTCCAATACAAAAACAAAAGAGAAAAAGGAAAAGTCGAGTGAAGCTCGCCGTGGAGGGGGTCGTGGGAGAAATCGTCGTGGTGGGTCAACTAGACCGGCTGCTACATCTGCTACTACTAATGACCATAATAATGGACATAATACAGATGCTCCTACAGCTATGGACATTACTGGTCAAGTAAATGAAGACACCATTACCTCAGAAGAGACAGACGTTCCCCAACCCATACCAATGGATACGTCCAATGCAGAAGAGTCCACACCACAGGAAGACAGTACATTTGATTTTCATGCTCATCAGGGTCTAGCTGTTTTGGGAGTTGCTATAATTGCTATGGGTGAAGAAATCGGCCTAGATATGGCCTTCCGAATGTTCGGCCATCTTGTATGTTCTTTTGTGCCACTTGGATATATTAAGTATCTAAATGTATATGATGTTATGCGTAAATATTTATTTCTGCTTTATCTGTCCTAGTTTCAAGCATTAAGTGTTTAAAAGTTTTTTGATACTTGATACGCTAATCCCGTTGCTTCTAACCGAATAACAGCTGAATTTCAAAATCGATTGCGAGTCTAGTAGATAAATTGAAAAGTCCTTATACATACGAGATTACTTGTATCCTCTTGTTTCTTGCTTTCAAAAATGTGATTTGCATCCGGCAATAAGTATAATCATACTAAAGAGTATTTCCAAATATTAAACACAACTTATGAGTAAAATAAGTAGTAGATAACAATGTCTTATTAAGTTGTAGTAAACAGCAAACGAAACTCGGGTGAAGCTAATGTGTGTTTAGGATAGTTAGGTTTGTCAAGTTTAAATACACAGTATAGCCACCACTATGATAAATTCAGTGGTTTCTACTTGTATCATCGACTGACCTTGCGAATAGGCGTTGGATTTTCACTTTCAAGTCCAGTTCTGTCTAACATTATTGTAATTCCAATAGTTAGGTAAATTTACATATCTGTCAATTCTCATATAAGTCAAATTAACAATGTATTAAAGCAAGTATAAAGTTACTATTTATGATTAATGTTATGTACTTTCTCAGAAAAATTCCCTGTCCTATAAAAAAAATGTCAATTCTGGTGAGTGTATGTAAGTTAATGAAATTGGTTTTAGTTATAAATATTATAGACATTTTTCGATAACAGAAAATGCTTTATTTTAATAATCACTTTACAGTTAAGATTCGGCGAACTTCCAATTAAAAGAGCTGTCCCACTAGCTCTTGCATTGTGCTACGTATCGAATCCTCAGCTAAAAGTATTGGATACTTTGAGCAAATTTAGTCATGATTCAGATGCAGAGTTATCACACAATTCTATAATTGCAATGGGCATTGTCGGTGCAGGTACGCTCATTATGTATTTTTGGTATAGAAGTTCAGTGTTTTATTATTTGTAATATACTTTTCTTACTTTCGTCTGTTACTCCCGATGGAGCATAGGTTGCCGACCAGCATTCTCCAACCCACTCTATCCTAAGTCTTCCTTTCTAGTTTTATCCAATTGTTATTCATTCTTCTCATGTCTGTCTCCATTTCTCGGTGTAATGTGTTCTTTCATCTTCCTCTTCTCCTCTGGCCTTGGGAATTCCATGTGAGGATTTGCCTTGTGACACAGTTGGGTGCTTTCCTCAATGTGTGTCCTATCCACTTCCAGCGCTTCTTCCTGATTTCTTCCTCCACTGGGATCTGGTTTGTTCTCTCCCACAGTAGGTTGTTGCTGATAGTGTCTGGTCAACGGATCCTGAGTATTTTGCGTAGATTGCTGTTAATAAACACTTATGTCTTCTGGATGATGGCTTTTGTAGTTCTCCAGGTTTCCGCCCCATACAGTAGAACTGTCTTGACATTTGTATTGCGAATTCTGGGTTTGGTGTTAGCTGACAGTTGTTTTGACTTCCAGATGTTCAGTTCCAGATATAATATCATATACCTTGATAATTCTAATTAAAGATATATAGTTTAGTTTTTAATGCTGATTTATCTTCCCATCTATTCTTTGATTCTTCCTCAAATACCTCAATTTTTCATCACTCAGTGGTCACATTATCAGGGAAGTTGAACCGTAGTATCTTCAGGACTCAAAATATTTTCGAACTGTTGACCAGTTCGAGTGATTGAAGTTGGAAATTAGTTAACTTCCAAGTGGTAATATCTCTCAATAAGTTAACATTAACTGTGGGGGACGGTAAAGCAATACATGTTTTAGATACTGCTTGAATTCATCCCTTTTTTTCAAACCGCATTATCCTACTTTTAGTCATTCTCACTATTATTTATACTACTGTCGCTCCAACTCCTTATATTCATGTTATTGTTATCTCGCCTTACTAATGTGTTATGGCAACATAGGTTGACGCACATATGTAATTCAGACTTTCTTGTTTGAAACCGATTCTATTTATCGGTGAAGATCTGTGTGATATACCACCTAAGATGTATCAGCCACATAAAATATGATGAATTTGTTTCTCTTAAATACCTTAAAAATAAGTTTAAGTGCTAATTGGTCATTTTAACGACATATCTCTCAAAGTTATTAGAACAAATGACGTTTTCAAGCTCATGGGTTCTCTGTTAACCAAGCCGTTCACGCGTTACAAATATAGATTGCTAAGACCCATGATAGCTTTTTCTTTTATCAGCACTAAAACTAACTGGATGAATAACCTCCATAGTATTTTTGTATGTTATAATCTTAGTTGTTTATGGGCATCTCTGATCTTAGTTACAGTGTGAACCTTATTTGTCTTTTACTTTAATTTTTTTTGTTGCCATTTCTTTCTTTTCAGGAACAAATAATGCACGTTTAGCTGCTATGTTACGTCAGCTTGCTGTTTATCATAGCCGCGATCCATACAATTTGTTCTTAGTTCGACTTGCTCAAGGCTTAACACATCTTGGAAAAGGGACACTCACACTGAGTCCTTGGCATTCTGATAGATTCCTATGCCGTCCTGTTGGGTTAGCTGGACTTCTCATACTATTAACATCTTGTCTGGATATGAGGATGACATTTATGAGTAGACACGATTACCTGATTTTTTATATTACACCTGCAATTCAACCTCGTTTGTTGATGACTTTCGATGAAGACTTGAAACCTTCGCTTGTGACTGTTCGTGTAGGTCAGGCTGTCGATGTTGTTGGTCAGGCAGGAAGGCCGAAAACCATTACAGGATTTCAGACGCATACCACACCAGTTTTATTATCTCATGGTGAACGTGCGGAACTTGCAACCGATGAATATTTACCTATAACACAACTTCCTTTAGAGGGTTTCATACTTCTCCGAAAGAATCCTGAATACGAGGAAACAAATAAATAATTGTTTCTTTATTCCTCTATCTGTTATCACGATGTAATAATACAGTATTCTATTTCTACATCTCATTTTTTCAGAAATACAATTCAATTTTCTCTTGTTCTTTTCGTTCTACAGAATATGATATACTAATTTATTTTATTAAACCTTATAATAATATAGTGTAGGAAGTATTAGTATTTCGCCAGGTTTTCATTTTTCCACATAAGAAGTGCTTTAGTTTATTTGCGAGGGTCCGAATTCCATTATACTTTTAGTGGCTATTTCTCCACTTACGAATTTTTGCAGTCCCCTGTGTTCATCTTTATTTTCCGATGTTACTGAGTGCAATTCCTACTTATTCGTGAGCTGTTCTAAATTAAAACTTGAATGGTTTAATAGCTTTTGATCACTTCATTGATGGCATTTTGTCTATCATATGTCAGTCACATGTTCCGGTTAGGCTTTATTCCCAATAGAATGAGTAATTTTCTATGTTCGTGTATAAAGTATTATTTACAATAAATTTCTTTATGAGACCATTCTGTGGTAAAAAATTAAAATAATAACTTGATAGTTAACATTAAGTTGAAGAATCATTTCAAGCTTTATCAAGATTTATTTATCTAGGTTTATATATGGGGATACTTTGTCGAAACATCGTATCTGTTGAAAGTCCTTCAATGAACATAAGGAAGACCCTCCTTGATTTGTTCTACATTTCGGTGTTCCAAAATGCTTTAATCTGTAAGGTCTGATCATGAGAAGTTGTTATCTACACTGCTAATATATATCTGACTAAGAAACAGATGTTTCCCCGTGTAAATCTGACAAATTCCAGATGAAATCACTAAAATACAGCTGACTTTTCCGTCGATATACATTAAATACGCATTATGGATAACTCCGATAAGTTTATCAAATATTTCTGTTGTTGGAAAGTAATTGGCGAACTAAGCGATGTCAACGACCTGCTTTAAACTGTTTGTGAAAGGCGGTGATGTCCTACATCCAACACTTCTGTAGTGTGAAGATAGCAGGCTTAAAGCTTCTAGGAACTATGAGAAATAAGAATGAAAGTAGAACATACCTCCTCAGCATCAGGGTGTGAATGTCAGTTGAAATTGTAGTCATAATCAGAAGCATACTGAAACATCGCAACTTCAGTTTGTGTAGAAATTAGATGGAACTGGTGATATTCCACAGAAAGCTAGCCTTGTAACTAATATGCGACACCCATGGTTATCTTTTACGCACTATTTGTTGAAGAAGTACAAGTTGAGTGGAGATGAGCTTTAAACACGTTACAATTGGATTGGATGTCACACCTTACCTCACGGATTTCCGTCTCCGGCGGTAAGGCCCTTTGAAGAACGGAGCTAACACATCAAAAACCTTCCACAAAAAGGCCGTGCGCGACCAGCCTCAAGCAGTTGTCCCTTGGGCTCTGTGGTCACGCTCCCAGGTTGTCAAGACCAACACTAATCCAATTTCCTCTTTAGGTTCCTCAAGAAATAACCTTCCACGGTGTGGGCAGCCGGGAAGTGACATCAGCCCTCATACCCGTAACAGCACACGAGACAAAGTTGGTCACATTCAAATCCTTCCTACACCTCCTAATACCTCTCTTATCTCCATGACTAACCCTCCTCACGTCTCTTTATCACCTCGCACCGCTAGGGCAAACGATTCGAGTAAGCGGAACGCTATTCCTGGTCTCCTGAAACCACGCTCTAAACTACACGTAGGAGCTTTTAACGTACGAACACTTTGCCAAATAGGACAGCAGGCTTCCTTAGCTAGGCCTTTAGAATCTCGCGCCATCGATGTGTGCTGCGTCTCCGAAACGCGCATACGAGATCCGAGTAGCGTTATTCATTTAACCTCACCGTGCCAAAATAAAGAACCGACTCGATTTACGCTTCGTGTATCTGGAAGCCCTGATTCTGCTTCCCATGGCCTCGCCGGCGTAGGTATAGCATTGAGTCCTAGGGCAGAACTAGTTCTCTTAGAGTGGATCCCAGTAGACAGTCGTTTGTGCGCTGTCCGACTAAACGGAACAGCAAGGACTCGGAAAGATAGGGACACTCGTCGTTGCCTCTTCGTCGTTCCTGCCTATTCTCCCACTGACTGCAGCTCAGATGATGTAAAAGATGAGTTTTACAGAAAGCTTTCGGACCTTCTCCGAAAAGCTAAGCGCTCGGATGTAGTAATAGTGGCCGGTGACTTTAATGCTCAAGTAGGTAAACTAAGCGATAGGGAAAGACACCAGGGTGGATCTTATAGCATCGTGTCTCAAAGAACAGATAATGGCGACCGTCTGTTGCATCTATGCTCAGATAACCGCCTGTTCCTTGCAAATACTAATTTTAAGCATAAGGAAAAGCATCTTTTAACATGGCGACCTCCTAATTCGTCCCAACGTTGGGCCAAATTGATCACATCGCTATCAGCCACCGATGGAGGGGCTCGATAGAAGACTGTCGCTTATTCTGGAGCACATGCTTAGATTCAGATCATGCTCAGGTACGAGCGCGTATTTGCTTGCGTCTTACTGGACGTAGGAAGGACGCTACAAGGAAACCTCTCAGGGGCCTACTTAATCATAGTCAAGCTAAGAGTATATTTCAGGAACAACTAGGAAAACAGTTAGGCAGTCATATAGGTGATGCCCACCCCGAGGCAGCATGGAATGATGTCCGAAAAGCTGTGGAAACAGCAGTGATATCTGCTAGTGAGGTAAACCAGAAGGTTAGGGAGCAACACTGGATCTCAGAAGCATCTATCGCACTGATAGATGCTCGGAAACTCATTCCACTTGACAAAATGCAGAGTCTTCTGACCACTCTAAGCAACAATGCAAGCATGTTCGGGATGCGATTCTCTCCCTCGACATGCAAAATGTTGCTTCAGGATTGGGTTACATCGACACCCGAACTAGTGATAGGGAGTGAAGTAGTTGAGTGTGTCAACCTCTTCACTTATCCTGGAAGTCTCATCAGCCCTTGTGGTCTGGCGTGTGGCGAAATCTCAGCACGGATACAGAAGGCTCGACTAGCTCTTGCCAACTTGCGTCATTTATGACGTAGGCGAGATATCCGTCTATCAACCAAAGGACGTGTTTACTGCGCAGCAGTTCGTCCCGTCCTACTTTATGGCAGTGAAATATGGCCGGTAAGAGTAAAGGATATCCGTAGGTTACTAGTATTTGATCATAGGTGTCTTCGAAACATTGCTCGTATATCATGGGACCATCGAGTAAGTAACGCAGTTGTTAGGAAACGGGTACTGGGTAAGGATGGCAAATCAATTGATGAAGTAGTGAAACTTCATCAGTTAAGATGGCTGGGACACGTGTTACGTATGCCCATCGACCGACTGCCTCGACGTGCTATGTTCAATGGTATAGGATTAGGTTGGAAGAAAGCTAGGGGCGGCCAAACCAAAACATGGCACAAGTCCATGAAGTCACTGACAAGTGGACTGAGTCATGTTGGTAGGTGTAGACTACGTGGTTGGGGACCACGAGATGATAGCAACCGATGGTTAGAGACTTTGAATGACATGGCTCAAAATCGTTTGCAATGACGCAGGTGCATCTGTAGAATTATGGTCTACTATGATATTAGTACTGCTCTAATAATAGACCTAATCCTAAATTTGTAGATTCGTCATGATATAACTGCCTAATCTATAAGATCTTACGTGGAAGTCACACCATCGACTACGCCAACTCACTGTATCGTATCAATTACCAATACATGATGAAGAACGAGGTTAGGTTAGAGAAAGAACAATATATTTAATATGAATAGAGACCACGCCTGCATGGCCGAGCCATGCCACTCGATCAACTCCAGTCCATTCAATTCCTTCTCCGCGCCTTCTCCATTGTTAGGTATTTCTCCGTGTTAAATATTGAATATCTATTTTCTGAGTAGTCTTGTGTTCAGCTTTGAAGATTGTGTGGTTATGGTCCAATGCCACTACACTACTCTCCCACCAGAATCAACGTGATGTTGGTTCGATACCGAATTGGACGGGATCGTCGTGCGTTGAAGGTTACCAAGACTAGGAAGAATCCTCCGGGTATTGGTAAGCTGAAAGATAAATCAAAAAGAAAGCGGCAGCATCTGGTCGGGAAATACATGTAATAATTTTAAAATATCTGCCTTCATGCTTAAAACGCTTGAAATGAAAATTTGGGTGAAGATTATTTGAGCTATAAAAAATGGGGTTACAATAATAATAATAAAACGATGCGTGTTAATAGCCGTTGGTTAATAACTTAACGTATAGGTAGTAAGTATTTGTGTTTAGAAGTATTAAAGTAATAAATGTTGTAGAAATATTAATATTGGTATTAGTTTTGACTTAAATTATGAAATCAGTTTACAATTATGCCGGTATGTTGTCCATATGAGTTGATTTCCAATTGCATATGTATTAGTAGGCTAACTGAAGGAACAAAAATATTACCGTGGAGAATTCCAACTAGTGTTCCAGTTAGTTTGATACGGTTTATTTACTTACGGGGAGATTTTCTCAACCTCATTTTTACTTGACCGTGATAGAATTTAGTAATACTACTAATACACATGAACGATTATCAAAACAAAGTTTAAATACGTGAGTGATAATTATATGAATTTTGGACAGATAGCTAGGAACAAATCGTTAAACATGAGTGTATTCGTAAGAGACATGCTCTAGACTCTATGTTCTGATCTGTGGCAGAGTATTTATTTATATTTATACTTGCCGGCTGATTGGGCATACAAGTTAGTTGCAAGTATGCAGTTTATCATAAGGCGGAATACGATTTAATTGAGATATAGTGGTTATAAGTTATTGAAATCAGTTAAGATTGTGTCATATTACTAAGTGATGTGGTGCTGCAAGATGTATTTGGCTAAATAAGTTTTACAAGATGATTAATAGTTAGTGATGCTCATGTGATTATCAGGGAGAACATAAGTTGTAACCAGGGGGAGTACACTCCCAACTCATGTCTATGATAATGGCTTGAACCTTAGTCAGTGTTGGGGTAAATTCGACATTGATGTTTTCAGTTTGCAGGAGATTTGCTCGACTGCTTATACTGATTATTTGCATGCATGA